ATAGGAGAGAATTAGGCTCCTCTGATGACATGAAATACTGGAAGAGGCAGCACTTTCAAAGCTGAGTATGGTGATGACAGGAAAGCTGAGACCAAGGGTAAAATATTTTTTGAGAATGGGATTTGGACTTGCTCCTCTTCAGGGACTGATTAATGCTGGAAGCGAGGGAGGAAATGAAACTATTTTCAACAGTTCTCCCAGTTCCAAATCACTTGTCTGGAACCTGGAAAGTGCAATCTGTAATTCTGGTGTTGGAAGGCTCCTTCAGTTTGAAATAGAGGGGAGGATGGCCAGGGGTGGGCGTTGGTTTGGGTGTGTTACACAGGACTGTGAGTTAGAGCGCATTGCTGGGTGGAGGCATCGAGTTGCACATGTTACAAGTGATCGCCACGGGGCCTGTGCTGGGGAACCAGCGCCAGCTACCATTGGCCAGCTCGAGGCAACCCCGGCTCCCACCCTTTGCTGCCCCGCTCCCTTATGCATATGCATTTACCCCCTACCTATAATGCTGAGGGGATTTGCATGCCCCACCTGCCTTCCAGAGTCTTCCCTGCTTTACCCCTATAAAATCCTCCATTTTCCCAAAAAAAGTTGAATCAGACTAGGGCTCGGGCAGTGAGTGCGTCGTGTCCGCGTCTCTTTTCTTGAGTGCGCACAGCACCACTAAACTAAACTGCCAGCCCTCGCCTCTGCTGCTTCCACCCCCTGCAGCAGGGCAGCGAACCCCGAGCCGGGCCGGGCCTTTTCTCCATTACAGAACCGCCTCTGCTGTAGGTACTGCGTTCTAGCAGGGATCCAGGCGAGCGCTCCCCGGGTCTCCAGCGGGAGGTGTGTCCGGTTGCCCGAGCTCCGGCAGGTGCCCGGCCGGCTCTGGACTGCGGCAGTGCCCTCGGCGGCTCTGGACTGCGGCAGTGCCCTCTGCGGCAGTGCCCTCAGCGGCTCTGGACTGCGGCAGTGCCCTCAGCGGCAGTGCCCTCGGCGGCAGTGCCCTCAGCGGCAGTGCCCTCGGCGGCTCTGGACTGCGGCAGGTCCCTCGGCGGCTCTGGACTGCGGCAGTGCCCTCGGCGGCTCTGGACTGCGGCAGGTCCCTCAGCGGCTCTGGACTGCGGCAGGTTCCCCTCGGCAGCGCTGGACCATCACCGGCAGAGGTGAGCCCCGGGGGTCCCCTCCCTGCCCACCCCGTCTCCACAACCCCGTATAAACAAACATATATAAAAATCGCGAAACTACAAGAAATTATAAAAAATAAGAAATACTAAGATGGGAACACACCCTTCAAGGCAGAAAATTAAAACGTACAATTATTTGAAGCTGTTACTTAGAATAGAAAACCAACCTATAAACAGGAGCTCCTTAAAAGCCTTAGTTAGGTGGATTTATAAAAATATAGATCCGGTTCCAGAAAGGATGACCTATCTAGGATGGGCAGAAATTGGAGCTGCACTGGCGAGAGACATTTTTTCTGGAAACTACCGTGCTGTTAAAACTTTATATGCGTGGTCAGCACTTTACCCAATATTTAAAAAAAAAGTTAAAGACAGCGACCGCTTGCAAATGCTTAGCACCAACGCTGGCAGCCGCTTACAGGATCTCATTAGCGTTTTGGACACCGAACCCCATCTCCCGGGTGGCGCCGATGCGTTGGGAGCGGGTCACGCGGCGCAGCGCGGGGACCCCGACTCCGACATGGCGGAGGAAGGGAGCCAAGATGGCTGCGGGGCCCCCTCGCTCCGCGCACCGCGCGTCGAGCCCGCTAACCCCTACTGCATCCCTGCCAGCGATCCCATATTCGGCAGCGGGAAAATCCACCTTTCCTGCGAACTGGAGGAGGGAGGAGACGAGGGCGGGGCTGTGTGTGGGATAGCGGAGGCGGATCCCGCAGGGAGCACGCCGCCTCTCCCGCCCCGCTGAGGTGGGTGCCGCCAGGCCGCTCCCGGCCCTCCCGCGGCCGCCATCCCCCGTAGTTCACCCCGGCCGAGGTGGCGCCGTCCTAAAGCTGCTCCCGATCCTGCAGAACCTTAACAAAGAGGAACGAAGATAATCAGAACGCATCTGCTGCACAAACCGCCATCGCATGTGATCCCGGTGGCCGCGCTGCTCTCCACGCGAGAAAGCGCCGCAAGAAACAACAACGAGCCCCTAGTCCAACTATACCATAACGTGTGGACAATCGGGAACGTTTGCTTTTAAGGGCAGTAAACCATCGTACAGCCCATAAGTGTTATAAATATTGTAGTCATAACTCCACTACGGTTTTGCAGCTGCTTTTCTAAGTTTTACATATGTCTAATCAATGTTTTCTCTCTTACAGTAAAGCTTTGTTATTAATGTTTTCAAGTTCACTTTTCATACTACTTGTCAAATACAAAATGTTACTAATGTTTCCTACTTAGTCTTTTCAGAAAGAAAAAAGAACAACACTGATGCTAGCCATGAAACATGTTCATGTTAAAATGTTAATACGTTGTGCAACAAACAACTTAAAATACAAGCCTTTCATAATAAAAGGGAGGAAATAAACCAAGGTAATAAAGCATAACACCATTTCTTTAATGTAAAACAATAAGAAAGTTGCTTTTTATTTACCATGATGTCTTCAAGTATTCCTTTTGTAGTGTTCACATATTTTTATTTTAAAACAAGTTTGTCTATAAAGTTTTCAAACTAAAATCAATATTCTGATTTGTAGTTTGTCCACGTCCAGCAGCACCATGGCCGGGCTGCCCTTGATCAGCCACCTCAGAATGTCCCCGGAGAGGGTCCCGGGTCAGCTGGAGCCCCAAAATGGGGAGATTTCAGCCCCACCTCCCAGGCCACCTCGAAGAGCACGACGTTGTGGGGGGCTCCGGGACCCCCCCAGTCCTGCGGGCCCGGCAGGGAACTCACGGACACTCTGCGGGCCAGCGGCGTCTGGGGGGGCCCAAAAATGGGGGGGGGACCCCAAAAATTGAGGGGGAGTCACGGGGGGGGGCAATGGGACCCCCCCCAACAGGAGCCCCACCACCCACGGGACCCCCTCATCCCAATAACCCCCTCCCAGGACCCCACCCACGAGACCCCCCAAAGGAGCCCCCCAAGGACCCCAAAATACCCCCAGGCCCCCTCCTAGAGACCCCCACACCCATGGGACCCCAGAGGGACCCCCAACACCCACGGGACCCCTCATAGAGACCCCTCCCTACCCCAATTACCCTCCCCCAGTACCACGAGGGACCCCCACCACCCACGGGACCCCCAGAGAAGCCCCCTCAGGACCCCAAAACCCCCAGAGGAGCCCCCCTATCCCAATAACCCCCAGCACCACGAGGGAACCCCCACCCACGGGACTCCCCTCAGGGGCCCCCAGAACCCCCACACCCACAGGAACCCCAGGACCCCAAAATTCCCCCAGACCCCCTATAGGAGCCCCCCCAATAACTCCCCCAGCACCACGAGGGACCCCCACACACACAGCCACGGGACCCCAGAGGGACCCCCAGGACCCCAAAATCCCCAGACCCCCCCATAGGAGCCCCCAATAACCCCCTCAGTACCACGAGGGACCCCCACACACCCACGAGACCCCCAGACCCCCGGACCCCAAATCCCCCCATAGGAACTCCCCCGCCCAAATACCCCCTCAGCACCACGAGGGACACCCCCAGCCCCCCGACCGGTCCAGCCCCCAGGGGTGTCCCCTTTCCCGTGGGGGATCCCGGGGGTTTCTTTGCCCACCGCTCACCTCCCCGCGCTCCCGCAGCTGATCGCGGACTGACCCCTCCTGCCCCCGTCCCCCTGGCCACGCCTCCCAAACGCTGATTGGCTGAGACGGGCCGGGGGAGGGCCACGAGCCGCAGGGGCTTCTGGTCCTCTTCTCGGGTACCCTGGGACCCCAGAACTGACCCTGGGACCCCCCGAACTGACCCTGGGACCCCCCAAAACTGACCCTGGGACCCCAGAACTGACCCTGGGACCCCCAAACTGACCCTGGGACCCCCAAAACTGACCCTGGGACCCCAGAACTGACCCTGGGACCCCCAAACTGACCCTGGGACCCCCAAAACTGACCCTGGGACCCCAGAACTGACCCTGGGACCCCCAAACTGACCCTGGGACCCCCCAAAACTGACCCTGGGACCCCAGAACTGACCCTGGGACCCCCAAACTGACCCTGGGATCCCCCAAAACTGACCCTGGGACCCCCAAACTGACCCTGGGACCCCCAAACTGCTCCTCACCCACCCCAGGGCTTCCTGGCCCTCTTCTCGGGTACCCCGAGCCTCCAAAAATGGCCCTGAGACCCCCAAAAATGGCCCTGAGCCCCCCAAACTGACCCTGGGACCCCCAAAAATGTCCCTGGGACCCCCCAAACTGACCCTGAGACCCCCAAAACTGACCCTGGGACCCCCAAAAATGTCCCTGAGCCCCCCAAAACTGACCCTGGGACCCCCAAAGTGATCCTCAGCCCTCCCAAACTCCCCCATAACCCCCCAAACCCCTCCCCAGCCCCCCCAAACCATCCCATAAACCCCCAAACCTCTTCCAGAACCCCCATAACCCTCCCCAGCCCCCTCTGACCCCCAGCCCCCGTTGCAGGTGACACGGGGAGATCAAGCCGGAGGTGCGGGAACAAATCAACGCCAAAGTGGCCGAGTGGCGCGAGGAGGGCAAGGCCGAGGTCATCCCTGGGGTGAGCCCGGAGCCCCCACACCCCCAGGGACCCTCAAAACCTCCTCAGGGACCCACAAACCACCTCAGGACTCATTAAAACACTCTTAGGGACCCCCAAAACCGCCTCAGGGAGCCACAAACCGCCTCAGGGACCCCCAAACCACCTCAGGAACCCCTAAACTATGGCAGGGACCCCCGAAACCATCTTAGGAACCCCCAAAACCATCTCAGGGACCCCCAAAACCGCCTCAGGGACCACCAAAACTATGGCAGGGACCCCCAAAATCTCCTCAGGGACCCCCAAAACCACCTCAGGGATGACCAAAATCATCTTAGGGACTTCCTAAACTATGGCAGGGACCCCCAAAACCGCCTCAGGGACGCCCAAAACCACCTCAGGGACCCCCGAAACCACTTCAGGGACCACCAAAGCTATTTCAGGGACCACGAAAACTACTTCAAGGATGCGCAAAACCATCTATGGGGCCCCCAAAACCTCAGAGACCCACAAAACCATCTCAGGACTCATGGAAAAATCCGCAGGGATCCCCCAAACATCCCCAGGGTCCCCAAAAGCCCCTCAAAGGCCTCCAAACCCCCTCAAGGGCTCCCAAAACCCACCTGTCAGAGGAACGAGGTGACAAATTACTCCAATCAGCTCCACCAGGAGCTCCCAAAGCCCCTTGTGGATCCCCCAAATCCCCAGAGACCCCTCAGGGACACCCAAGAGCCCCCCCAGGACCCCTCCAACCTTCCCCCCCAATCCCCCAGGTGCTGCTCATCGACGAGGTTCACGTGTTGGACATCGAGAGCTTCTCGGTCCTCAGCTGGGCGCTGGAGAGCGACATGGCCTGGGTGCTGATCATGGCCACGAACCGCGGCATCACCAGGTACCTGAGCTCACCTGGGCACCCCTGGGTACCCCTGGGCTCACCTGGGCACCCCAGCCCTCACCTGGGCACACCTGAGCTCACCTGGGCACCCCTGGGGCACCCCAGCCCTCACCTGGGCACCCATGAGCTCACCTGGGCACCCCTGGGGCACCCCAGCCCTCACCTGGGCACCCATGAGCTCACCTGGGCACCCCTGGGGCACCCCAGCCCTCACCTGGGCCCCCTCTGTGCCCCCCAGGATCCGCGGCCCTGCCCACCCCAGCCCCCACGGGCTCCCCCTGGCCCTGCTGGACCGGCTGCTGATCATCGCCACAGCACCCTTCGGGGATGAGGAGACCCGGCAGGTCCTCAAGATCCGGTGGGACACCCCAAAATCGCACCTGGGCACCCCCACAAACACCTGAACCCCAAAATCCACCCTGACACATCCCAAATGTACCCAAAAACCATCGCCATGGGGACAAGGAGACCCGGCAGATCCTCAAGATCTGGTGGGACACCCCAAAAACGCACCTGGGCACCTCCACAAACACCCCTGAGCCCCGAAATCCACACTGACACACCCCAAATACACCCCCAAAGTGTCCTGGGCACCCCAAAAACCATCGCCACGGCACCCTACGGGGACAAGGAGACCCGGCAGGTCCTCAAGATCCGGTGGGGCACCCCGAAAACACCCCTGGGCACCCCCTAAAACTCACTCGAACCCCCCTTGGGTTCCCCCCAAGCCATTTTTGGGTCCCCCTGACCCATTTTGGACTCCCCCTGACCCATTTTTGGGCTTTCCCTGACCCATTTTGGGCTCTGCCTAACCCATTTTGGGAGCGCAGGTGTGAGGAGGAGGACGTGGAGATGTCGGAGGACGCGTACGCGGTGCTGACGCGGATCGGGCTGGAGACGTCACTGCCTTACGCGATGCAGCTCCTCACCACTGCCAGCCCGGCGGCCAGCAAGGTGGGCACCCCGAAACCGCGGGGAAACGGGAGGGGAAAATGGAGGGAAACGAGAGGGGAAAATGGAGGGAAACGTGAGGGGAAAATTGAGGGAAACGTGAGGGGAAAATGGAGGGAAACGAGAGGGCAAAAGTGGCGAGAAACGTGAGGGGAAAATGGAGGGAAACGAGAGGGGAAAATGGAGGGAAACGTGAGGGGAAAACGGAGGGAAACGTGAGGGGAAAATGGAGGGAAACGTGAGGGGAAAATGGAGGGAAACGTGAGGGGAAAACGGAGGGAAACGTGAGGGGAAAACGGAGGGAAACGTGAGGGGAAAACGGAGGAAACGTGAGGGGAAAACGGAGGGAAACGTGAGGGGAAAACGGAGGGAAACGTGAGGGGAAAACGGAGGGAAACGTGAGGGGAAAACGGAGGGAAACGTGAGGGGAAAACGGAGGGAAACGTGAGGGGAAAACGGAGGGAAATGCGAGGGGAAAATGGAGGGAAAGGTGAGGGGGAAAATGGAAGGAAACGTAAGACAAAAACAGTAAGAAATGTGTGGGGAAAATGGCAGGAAATATGAGAGAAAAATGGTGGGAAAGGCGAGGAGAAAGATTTTTGGGTCCCCTTTGACATTTGTGGATCCCCCCTTTGCTCCCCCAGGGCACGGAGGTGGGGCTGGAGGACATCAAGTGCCTGGACTCCCTGTTCCTGGATGAGTCGCGCTCCACCCAGTACATGAGGGAGTACCAGGAGGCCTTCCTGTTCAACGAGCTCCGTGAGCACCTGGGGGACATCTGGGGGCACCTGGATACATCTGGGGGGCACCTGGACACATCTGGGCACACCTGGGGGCACCTGGACACACCTGAGGGTCCCCAGGCCAGGGTGGGTAACACTTGGGGACATGGGGCAAAATGGGACAGGACAAAAACAGCGTAAAAATGAGGCCAAAAGGGGTGAAATTGGGCAAAAGTGGGGTGGGGAAAACGGCCAAAAATTGGGGGATATGGGGGAAAATTGAGGAAATGGAGGAAAAACGAGGAAATTGGGCAAAAAGGGGGTAAATCAGTAAAAGTGGGAGAAATGGGGTGGAAATGGGAGGAGCAGAGCCAAAAATGAGTGGAATGGGGCAAAATGTGAGAAATGGGGTAAAAATTGGGTAAGTATGGGAGAAATAAGGTAAAAATTAAGGAATTGGGCAAAATTGGGGTAAAAACGGGGCAAAAATAAGAAGTGGGGGGAAAATTAGGGGAATTTGGGTGAAAATGGATAAAAATGAGAAAATTAGGAATAAAACTGGGGGAAATTGGATAAAAACGCAGGAAATGGGTAAAATAGAAGGAATTGGGACAAAATGGGACAAATTGGGTAAAAACCAGTAGGAACGGAGAAAATGGGAGAGGAGTCAGGAAAAATCCCCTCAGCCCTCCCAGGTTTCCCTCCAGGGACCCCCCAAATCCCCCGGTGCCCCCTCACCTGTAGCCGAACAGGACGGCGTCAGTGCCGGGGACGTGGCCGCTCTGCAGCATATCCCGGGACTTTTTGGGGAGAAAACCCAAAAACGAGGGGTTGGGGGTGCTGAGGGGAAACCCCCCAAACTCCCCAGACCCTCTCAGGACTCCTCAAACTCCCCCAGACCTTCTAAACCCATCCAGACTCTTCCAATACCTCCCCAAACCCCCGCAGGATCCCCCCCAGACCCATCCAGACCCTCCCAATACCTCCCCAACTCCCCCCCCAGAGCCCCCCAAACCCCTCAGACCCTCTCAGGACCCCCCAGAGCCCCTCAAACCCATCCAGACCCTCCCAATACCTCCCCAAACCCCTCAGGACCCCCAACCCATCCAGACCCTCCCAATACCTCCCCAGGACCCCCCCAGAGCCCCCCAGGACCCCCCCAAGCCCCCCAGAGCCCCCTGACCCGGCAGTTGTGCCGTGCCTGCTCCAGGCTGGCGGTGAACTCGAGGCACCGACACGGCACCGACGCCTGCCAGGCACACCACACGAACCTGGGGGGGCACGGCGGGGTCAGGGGGGAGCCCCCCGAGCCTGGGGGGGTCCCACAGCCTCGGGAGGGGCCCCGAAACCCTGGCAGGGGGCAGTTTCCAGTGCCCTCCCAGTAGCTCCCAGTGCCTCACCTCAGTTCCCAGTTCACCCCCAGTAGGCCCTTGCACCCTCCCAGTGCACCCCAACACCTCCCAGTAGCTCCCAGTGCCCTCTGACACCTCCCAGTGCCCTCCCAGTGCCCTCTGACACCTCCCAGCCCCTGCCCAGTGCCCAGGCAGGTTTTGAGGGGCACACAGCAGGGTTCAGTGTGCTGAGCTGCAGTACCATGAAAAGGTGTGGACTTGCTGCTCTCACTTTCCATTCAGTTCCCCATCCCTCGAAGTGTTGCATTACAAAGGGATAAGATGCCCACGCAAAGGTGATCAGCAGCAGTTTTCACCACTGCATTGTGGCATCTCTCACCACCTGCTGAGGCTTTACTAGCATGTCTCATTTAAAGGGAAAATGACAGTATGGCACACTATCCTGCAGATCCTTGGTGCAAGTCAAGGAGTCTTTTATAGACTATAAGACACTCAGGGAAATAATGGCTTTGTTGCAGAGTGCTGGAGAGGATGGCATTTTATGTGGTGGTGCTTGGCTTCAGTTGTATTTCACTTTGTACTAAACACCCTTCATATTTATGCATATCTATGTGAATTCTCTCTCTGTTTTTCCATATATCTCTCTTTGAATGCTCTCAGCTTTTCCGTGATCTAGAATGGAAGCAAAGATGCATTCTTTCCTCTGGCTGCTCTTTTACACTTTTCCTGCTGTGTCCAAACATGATTCCATGGGTAACTGGTGTATTATTATAGTACTCTCTAGGTGACTGCCTCGCAGGTTATATATTGGTTATATACACATCTATATATTTCTAGATGTAAATATGTTTCGTCATCTTGATCTTTTCTAGTACATCCATAAAGGTCCCTGTTCAAGACCTCTGATGCCCTTGTGAAACGATTCATTTTACGAAGCTAGATCAGGGCTGTCTCTTTCTGATCCCCAAGTCCTGTGCTGGCTGATCCCCAAGGGAGAGTCGATTGTTTTTTATATCTGAAGCTGGTCTCACTTGAATTCCAGGGTTCATCCCCCAAATCTCACCAAATCCTAGCCTTGCTGGCCTGCAGAAAGCAGTCATGTGAGCCAGAGCAGTGAAGCTGATTTCTGTGCATTCCGTAAACACTTCTTAATTGTGGGTGTAAAACACAAGCAGTTAATTTGCTGTTTTTATTTTGCTGGCTGTGTCAGCTTGTACTTGCTGGGACATACATGTACAGCTGGGGAATTTGGTCTGCTTTTTTTTCTGCTTTTAAAAAGATGCATTACATGAGTTCAATCTTATCACTTCTCTTACTGCCCTTCAGAGCATTTTCACATCCAGAACTGTAGATCTTGGAAAAAGTGAAGGAAAAGGACTTAGAGGGAATGAGGGAAAATATTAACTTGATACCTTTAAATTACAGCAACGCTGTAGTTGTTTTAAATATTCTTTGGTCTTGCTGGTTGTGATGCCATTTTAACTGCCAACTGTGCCTAAAAAGTGTTAACTTTCTGAGCATATGTGATGACAGCCAGCAGCTGTGCGTGCCAACAGCACGTCCTTCCCTGTTGCTTCCTGCCTTAGACCTTTCTGCTATCATTTCCATGGAGATCATCTCACTGGAGGGGGTAGAAGGGAACCTATGAAACTTTTAAAAGTCTCTTTACCATTCAGCTTGTTTCCATGGAAATGGGATCTGTAAGATTGGCAGTAGCAAAGAGCTGCAAGTGAGAATTCACTTGTAGATTTTTATTAGATGACTCCCAGCTGAGATCTGCTAATACTGATGGTCAAAATAAGGAATAAACCATTTAGGGGGGAAAAAAAAAATAGAAAAAACACTATCTGCTTTCTTTTTATCCTGATTGGATGTGATAAATAAGGAAGTGCTTGTTTAAGTGTTCTCGGGTGTGTGAGTTGTGTGGACACACTCGCAACTTTCTTCAGACTATTTTGTAAGATAGCAACTCTATGCAACAAACATAGGCCATCCCTTTTGTAGGATGGGCTTTTAAAGAGAGAGCTGCCCGTTTCAAAGGATGTCTGTGTGCAGTGAGGGATATATGGCAGCAAACTGCACTGCTGCACTTCAGGTTCAGTGCATTTTCAAATGTCAGCTTATGTTTTTGTGTAAGAGGCAGTTGACAACTCCATTTCTGGAATTACCTACCTTGCTGGAAGGAACTGCTTTGCTGACCAGTAAACCAGATCTGTGGCATGAACCTTACATATCTTGTTGCTCACTTTGGAATGGAAATCTTTCTTCTGTTGCCAGATAAGAAATAAGACTGAGGATTTGCCTTAACAGATGTGTCCTCTTAGCAGGTAGTAAAATGCAGGATAGCTGAAGTCAACAGATTTTGCTCCCCAGTCCCATATCCCCTGTTCTTTCTTTCAGTTGTCTGCATGGCAATCCAGCCTTTATCCCTCTGTGTTTTACTCAGCCACAAATGATCTGTGTAGAATATTTTCCCCGGGGTCCCCCTGTGTGCTGGATATCCCAGTGTGTGGATGTTCAGTCTGCCACAACCTTTCCTCACCCAGGAGTGAGCTAAGATCCAGTGGCTGGGTGCAGCAAGCGCATAACCCTTCAGTTCCGGGCAGTTGTGCTTTGTGTAAAAAGGTAAGAGAAAAGGGGGAGGGACATTTTCAGCTTAGGATAAAAATGCAGCAACGTTTTTAAGAGCGGATGGTCTTTTTCCTAAACTGGTGTGTGAGAGGCTGGGCCTCAGGAACCAGTGTCAGTCCTTTCTGTTCTGCTGGAGCCTGAGCTGTGTGTGGCCAGTACTGAGTAAATCGTGCCAATCGTGAATTTACCATCTCTCTCCTTTTAGCAGCACCATATGACCTCAAAGAGGGGTCACTTAAGAGACAGGGCAGTTTAGAGATAAGTCAAGATTGAGGATTTGTTGAAATAACTGGTGTCTTCAGGGAAATTATGCCAGTTTTCATCAAGCTGTATGTTCTTTTCTGTAGCATGTTACCACTGAGATGCTTTCTCATCAGACAGGGATGTGTTTAAAAAAACCCATGCCATACATTATTCTCTTTTTATGGTGTTTATATGGCCTTTGGTGATACAACCAACTGCATTTGAATAACCAGCTCATTCTGATTTTGTAAATCTGCAGTGTTTTGGTTTAAAATAACAAAAAGTGGGGAACACTGAAAGAAAATTTCAGTGGTATATAGGCAGTACAAGATTTAAATTAGGCAATTAACTCTTTATACTGTTCTCTGTACAGCTGTTAGATATTAGTGAAGTCCAAAAATGAAACAAAGAGGTTGTAAAGTAGCTCGTAGGGATGTGAAAACAGCTGAGATTTTCTCTAACTAAAATCTCAGTGTGATTTGTAGCCTAATCTCGTATTTTGTGCTTGGATGTGACAAGTAGTCTTGGAATCTTCTTTCCAGCAGTCTTCAAATCATATTTTCTGTTTGAGAGACTCCTCCTTTATGTTACATGTAAAATGTAACCTCTTATTCACACTGTTTATTACAATATTAAACTAGTATTTTTAAGTCTTTCCTCCCAATTATGTTTTGGGCATTTCTTCTTCATAATTCCTGTGACTCCAGATGTAAGAATTGGTGTTACCAGTGGGATGTTTCCGGTTTGTTTGTGACTGAGGTTTCAAAGAATAATAGTTATGCACAACTAGAATGTTTATAAATACTCATAATTTAATTAACTAGGAGCCATAACATGAAATACACCGTTAAGAAAACTAGCATGGATTTGATAAATTGTTTGGCTTTTTGTTGCCCACACTGAATTTAACTGTTGCTTTTCCTGGCTGTTTTTACCAGACTTGGGTAAACTGAAAAGCAGACGGTGTTTCACTCAGGAACAAAGTGTCCTTGTCAGAGACCACCACAGACAGTTCTGACAGACTGTTCTGTGGCACTGAAGTGGCATTTTGGGAGGGTGTTCTCCTGGTTTGCACTCCCTCTCTGGGGCTCGCAATGAAGAGCACAAGCCAGCGCTCCCAGCTGTGTCTGTAACCACGTCCCAGGGCAATGGCTGCACAGAACCCCTTTGGAAATGTTCTATAGCTATGATGCTTAGACCACTGTTTCTGTTAAAGAAAATGTCTTTCTTGCCCAGTGGATGAATTCCTATAAACTGGGAGCTGTCAGAGGCTATCTGGGAGCAAAATGGAAAGGCACAGGCATGAAATATGTGAGCTCTGCTTTGAACAACTAAAGCAACGTCCATGTCTGATTAATCCCTCTTGGTTGAGTCTTTGAAGCCAGTTATTGAAGTGCTGAGCCTTTACTTTGCTACAGAAGGAGTAGATTTGTATTATTAACCACACAGCTAAGAGCTAACTGTAGGGCTTTAATTTCTGAGTTCAAATTGAGATATTGATTTGGAGCGAATATATAAATATTTCTGATGAGAATCTCATGCCAAGGGGAGGATCTGCTGGACATGTTTTCTTTCATGTATCTGAGAGAGCAGTATATTCATATTGTTTTGTTTTAAGCTAGTTTAGGCCAGTTCTGAAGACTGTTCTATCTTTTAAAAAGTACACTTTTTAAACCACCCCCTTACTCTTTTAATTCTGGGTTTGGTGTGGTGGGGTGTTGTTTGGGTGATTTGAAGATCAATTTTTTTTTTTGGTGTTTGGTCATTTGGTGTTTGTTTGTTGTTGTTTTTTTTGAGATCTCTCTGGAACATGTAACATACCTTCCTCTTAATATGACTTGGCACACAAATAAATGTAAAAAGCCTTTTGCACTTGTTTGTTTATTCTCCAGATTTACCTTGTGGCTATATTTATGTATAACCTTTATTTGTATAACAATGATTAAACGTAATGAGAGGATTCATTTGTAAACGCCTTCACTTCCCTTATTTCCCTGCACAGCTCCCGGCTGGATTCTGTAGTGACCAGGAATTCCACTCCTCTGACTGCAAGTGGCAGCTCTTGGAATTATTTTTTCAGTGTGAATGCCAACAACTGTTTGAATTGAGAGTTTTCAGGTTAATGCAGCCACAGGTTCCACGGCTTGGAGTGGTAGTTCTTTTGTTGTTTGTGGGATTTGTTTTGCTGTTGTTTTATTTTTTTCTGCTGCTTCTACCATGACGGATCAGCACATCTAAAAGACACACTAAAACTTCTGGTGGGACACAAAATTTTTGGATACAGAACTATAACTGGTTCTGTGTTTTGATAAGAAAAGATCTCTGTCTAATGTTACCCTGATATTTTGAGTGGAAAGTTGACTATATTGAAGCTATTTTGGGGATGTTTGTAATCATTTGGAGTATCTGATTATGTCATAAATTAGGCATTTGATATGAAACATATGGATTGTATTTTAATTTTTTTTTTTTTTGAGACCCTCTATGCAGGAATTTCCACCAGAATTTGAGAATGTTTGGTGAAGTTAATGTAAGGAAAACCTGGAGGGGTAATGGGGAGAGGAAAAAAGCTCCTCCTTCACCTTCAAACTCCATGAGAATTTGTAAAGGCAACAGCAGCACGATGCCTGTGACAGTTGGGTTTTGGTTTGCTGGGTTTTTCTGGTTGGTTTTGGTTTGGGGGAAATGAAATGAAACATCTCTGTGCACAGTTCAGTGTTTCTAGGGGAATTGTGGAAACCAAGAGAGCCTACACAAAACACCTCAGCCCCCTGCCACAGCAGGCAGGAACATTCCAGCAAAAATTATCCACCTAGATCATTGAGCAACATACCCAGCAATGTTCTTAGCCCTCATAAATGTGCTAATGCAGTCATGGGCAGTATTTCCTTCTTTGCTGAGCCCCCGTAATTTTTTTACATTTTAAATTTCTATTCTAGAAATAGAAGTTTATTGTAGAGTCTGTGACATAACTCATGCGGTGTTCTGTAGTTCATATCTGCTTTTAACTACTGTTACAAAGGCTTGAAGCAAATAATTAGTTTAGCCACAGGTGCACACCCGTGGGACCTGTGAGTGCATGAGTGGGCTCTCTGTGTGTGCACATGCACAGCAACTCTTTTTCTTCATTTTTAAACGATTTCTTTTTCTTTCCAGTGGGATGCCATAACTGAAATGGACGAGCACAGCCGCCCCATCCACACCTACCAGGTGTGCAACGTGATGGAGCCCAACCAGAACAACTGGCTGCAAACCAGTTGGATCTCCCGGGAGGCCGCGCAGAAGATCTACGTGGAGATGAAGTTCACGCCGAGGGACCGCAGCAGCATCCCCTGGGTGCTGGGCACCTGCAAGGAGACCTTCAACCTCCAGTACGTGGAGGCAGATGAGGCGCACGGGGCGCGGTTCAAGCCGGGCCAGTACAGCAAGATCGACACCATCGCGGCCGCCGAGAGCTTCCCGCAGATGGACCTGGCGACCGCATCCTCAGGCTCAACACCGAGGTGTGGGAGGTGGGGCCCGTCGGCAGGAAGGGCTTCTACCTGGCCTTCCAGGGCACGGGCGCCTGCACCGCGCTGGGCTCGGTGCATGTGTACTACAGGAAGTGCCCGCTGACGGTGCGGGACCTGGCCGCGTTCCCCGACACCGTGCCCAGGGGGGACTCTGAGGAGCGCGGCACCCCCAAGCTCTGCTGCGGGGCCGACGGCGACTGGCTCGTGCCGCTGGGCCGCTGCGTCTGCTCCGTGGGCTACCAGGAACTGGAGGGCTCCTGCCGCGGTGAGTGAACGCTACTGCATTTTTATTCTCTTCTTACCTTTCAATTTAAAAAAACCAGCCATATGGTGTCATATGCACTTTGTGTGTTGTCTTCTGCCGTCCAGAATAATTCCACAGTGACATGGGGGTGCTCTTTTCTGTGGTAGTGATTGTAAAGAAAGCCTCAGAACCACCGAGCTGCGAGGCTGCTGGGATTTACATTGGCTTTTTCAGCAAACAGGGAGAGAAGGAGTCCATGTCCATAAGTTATATTGATGCTGTTAGTGTTTTGCTGCAGAGTTTCTCGGGTTTGATGGTACTGGGCAAGCAGCGCAGCAACCTTAGATAATGCAGAGCATTGAAGCACTGTGCGTTGTAATCAGAAAATGAGATTGACTTTGTTGTCTGGTCTTGCTGGTGTTAATTATCCAAACATACTCATTGCAAAGATACAGTGTTGGCAGTGCCATTACTGGAGGCACCATTTTCTATGTGAGGTCAAGAGGTTTCTCTCTTGATGGGGTGAGGATTTTCTTTGAGACTTTGGTGCTGAATGAATTTCTGTCCATTATGGGAGTGAGTCACACTCTGCATCTCCCCGTGAGCAGTGCAGCCAGCAGAGTTCCTGCTGCACATTGACTCCCCTGGTGTGTCCAGTCTGTCCAATATGCTGCTGAACTGGTATCTTCCAAATGAAATAGAGTTCCCAGAGCCACAAATGTTTGCTTATTCTTATCTGTTTGCCACAAGAGTAACAAATTACCATTTAGAAAATTGCAATCTGAGAGAACTTCCTTATCTTTTGCAATCGTTTTCACTGGTGTCTGATGTTGTCCTTTCAGTTTACTTCAGTGTATTTTAATATTGGTGCTACGTTTTTCTGACAACTTTTCAAGCTGTGTTTGTGTTGCACTGCTTCATGGATGTCTTGCCCAAGGCAAACCCCAGTGCAGAAGGTGCTTTCATAACTAAAGAGCAACCGTGACTTTTTCACTGGTGCCCACTCTGCAGTGTCTAAGGGTGGGCACATTTGTCTCTGTGCCAAAGCTGGTGGTGGAGACGCCTCTGGGACAGCTGGGGGTGTGTTTTTATACACTGTGACTGTTGTGAGCTGAGCTGAGATTGAGAGCAATCTTTCAAATAGCCATAATGTCTGATTCTGAGACTTTGCTTCTTGGCTCGGGCGTGAATCAAAAATTTAATTGAGAAGACTTGTTGTGTCAGTAGGTCTTTTACTAACTCTTTAATACTCATCAAATCATAAAATGCCTGAGTGATACTGACTCTCTAAGGGAAAATTCAAACTATTTACGTTTAGCTTGTTGTCATAGGAGCAGGATGTTGGGGACTAGATAGGGGAAGAGTAGGAGCCATTACATCTTAGTCTGATGAGAAGACCTGAGATATATTTATGCAATTTTCATGTCCTCTACCTCCTTCCTCCAAATCCCAAACCCTTCTGCCCCTCCCATTCCCTTGCTGGAGTTACAAATCTTAAAGTATTTTAACTGTTGTGTTGGTGCTTCTTCTAGTCATGCTCTGTGACATATTCAAAAGAGAGAATTATTTCCTTCCTCTGCACAAAACTAACAGTCAAAATAATAATTTTGCATTTTGGAATCTGTTCTGACAGCTGGGTGATGGGCAGTACTTGCTAATAGTTGGTTTTTTCCTACGTGCAAATGGTGTCAAACTTACTGCACACCATCGTGTGGCTCGGGGGGGGAATAAGCACTTCATGGCCAATGGGGCTTGTCTGTCACAGAATTTAAAGAGTAAATTTCTGGTTTGATACCTGTGGAGATGTGCAGACTCTCTTCAGGAACTATTAAGTGGCATAAGGAAAGAAATTCTGCCTTTGTCATTGCTCGTAGTTTTGCAAAGCAGCAAGAATGGGAATAAAAACAGTGTTTGATCAGTTTTACTACTGCTGTTAAAATCATGGGTCATTTTTAACTGCCAAATTCTAGTTTATTTGCTTCCCTGACTGGCAACATTTCAGTTATTTCAATTTATGTGGGTTTTATGTGTTTTCCTCTCTGTCTGTGAATCCATCAGTGCTCCCTATCCATCTGATTTTCTTTTAAAAGCATAAAAGTGTGTGAGAAGAATTCCCAACTAGTTTAAAATACCCATGCTTATTCAATGTATGCCCCAAGGTGTCTAGTCAGTTCAGAGGCATATTGATGGGGAGGTTTTTGTTCATTTGGAACATCTTCCTTTCCTGAGGTCAGTGGGGAAAAGTCCCATTGATTGCAAGATGTGCACAGGTATTTGTGTGTGGTGTACATTTCTTAGTGGGATAACCTGAAAAAATATCATGTTCTCTAAACTTACTGTGTAAACAATCTGGCATCTTTGATTTCAACCCTCAAAATCCTGAAATAGCAGCAGCATTCACATGTTCTGCTGTTTCTTTAGGCATTAATAAATAAATATGTACCAATAATTTGGCACTATTAACCATAAATGGCTCTGGTATGAACTGCTTTCCCAAATCACTGATGCCGGCCCCATTAACAAGTTTCAGCTTAAAAAGGAGTCCAATAAACATCCATTAAAAGTAGCAAGTTCAATGTCATGTATTTCCCAAATTCCAGCCCAGGACAAGAGTTGTGCTAAATTTAACAAATGTATAATCTATACAGATCAGATCAGGACTTTGTTTATGGTTTATTTATATTTTATTTTATGGTGTTTGGGGTTTATTTTACACAGGAACAAACAATCATGGCAAGGAGCATTATAGACTCGATTGTAAATCTGTTTGGGTGTGATATAGAAATAATGGGATGATTGTTAACTGCTTCTGTAATGATTTACCAAAAATTATCTGAATTATCAAGGTTAGCAATTAATGGCCGAGAGAAATTGAATTTCATATAGCAATTAATAATTATTAAGGAAATTTCAGATTTTAATTTAGTCTTAACCAATCACACACAATGCAGAAAGGTATTTTACCGACCATTAAGGCTGATTCTTCTTGAGGAACATTCTCGGGAACCCATCAGCCCCACAGGATGCTATGAGGTATAGCTGAAGAAATTTTGAAAGTGTAAAAGGACAGGCACTGACAGACACCTGGTTTATTTGAATTAAAACAAATACAGTAGAAATGGGAATGCAAAGCTTAAATTCTTTGACCTTGAGTTGCCTGAACAATGCCTCCTAGGGACATTACTGTCTGAACACATTGAGTTTTTATTTGAACAAGCACTTCTTTCCATTATTCATCACTTGAATTTGTGGAATGTTTCAGTGTTAGGACCTTGGCTTTATGTTCTTTAGCCATTTCATCTGATTCAATTACAGAAACTTCTCATTCTGCAAACAGGAATTACACCCTCCTCAGGCACGTACCTGTCGTGTCTTTGTCACGGGGGAACCGAGCAGTTAATGTCAGTCATGCTTTAGTTACCTGTGTGTTGGCAGCAAAACAGGAGAAGGGGAGGAAATGTAAATTGGAACTGCAAGTTTAATAGTTGGAGATACAGGATTGTGTAAAGCTCCTTTTGATTTTTCTTCCACACGTTTATCTCCTCATGAAACGTAATCTCCTTTGCCAGGCACTGAAGGAAGATTAGTAAAGGAAAAGCAGAGTAAGATTTAAACTACCAAAAAAAAAAAAAAAAAAAAAAGGAGGGAGGAGGAAAAAAAAGATTAAATTTAAAATTTTGAGATTTGAAGACAAAACCCTTCCACCATGGAAAGTCCCTCCTGCAGCAGAGCTGGGACCGTTCCTTTGTTCCCTAAGATAGGAGTGTAAAATTTCAAATTTCTATTTCCTGCCAACTCTTTTTGGATAGCAGGAGATAGGTTTTGTCAAAGAGGATGAAGAATTGGAGACTAAGATGATCCACTGACAGAGAACAAGTGCAGAAGTCTCCTGGGACTGCCTGCATTGGGGGGCACGTTCTGCCTCCTAGACTACTGCAGGTGTCTTTGCTCCAGGCCTCTTCAATACCCTTTTCCTTCCAAAACAGAAGGCAGTCAAGTAGGAAGACTGATAACACAAATTCTCAGTTTTATAAAAAAAATTAGTCTGGAGCCTCATTTCCCCCTGAAAACCAAGCCTTTTGATTTTCTTCTGATTTCAATGTCCTCCCTTCATCTGCAGCCTGCAGTGAAAGCTCCCAGGGACTGATGCTCCTCAGGGACCTGCACTGTCAGAGAGGAGTCAGGAGGGGACAGAGGGGAGATGCAGAGCAGCATCAGAGGTGGCCTGAAGAGTGGAGGAGTGGTTAGATGTGGATAGTTACCCATCAGCATTGGCTCTCAGCTTGTTCTCCACCATCCCTTGTGTCCTGTGCACTGCTCCACGGGGGTTTTGTTCAGCAGGAATCCCCTGACAGTGCCCCAGAGAGCAGGGAGCGTGGGAAGCCTCCAAACCTCACTGAACTCTTCCTCCCTTCCTCAGTGCCAGGGACAGCAGTTGTGTATCACAGTCTCCTCTGCACTGATCTCGTAGGGATAGGGTTAAAATAGTTGGGGTTGAATTAGCTGAGGGTTTTTAATAATAAAATCGTTAAATAGCTGTACTATTTTTTGCAAATAAATAGTCATACAATACATTCCCATTTCTAACAGCTTCTTGGGTGTGTCACTGCTCTGAAAGGTTCACCCTTTTTTTTCCTGTGCTTAAGCAATGATAGTTTATTTTGCATAATTTATGTGAGTCTGAAGAGCTTTAGATTTCACCAATTCAATGGCAGCGCTCAAGGCCTTTGTGATTATTGGTGACACCTGTTTGTCCCTGAGGAAACTACTCCTTGGCATATGTAAGGACATCTGGAAACACCCAGCACGTGTTAAACTTAGAATTCTGACTATGGATAAGGTGGAATTGTGATTTTACAACTCCAAATCCAGTTTTTAGGTCAAACTGCTAAATAGGTGTTTTTACCACGATCCAGGAACATACATGGGAAAAAGAGGAGTGATGGATAATAGGTCTGTAGGTAGCAGCACAGAAAAGCAAGTGGTCAAACCTGATCAAAGCATCTGAATATTTTCAACCA